TTATCAAACGGTTATGGGACAGACAGATACCCGTTGAATGGGTTATATATATAGATTCTATTATTGTCTTGCTTCTAAATATATCACTACATATAAACATACTTTTTGTTCTGAAATATTTGAACTCAAATTTCCATTTTCTGCTTGAATTTATTTACTTATTTTAATTATATACAGTATCATTATATTTATCTTATTTGTTTTCCAACATTAAATGAAATACTACTGTAAACCTATCATTAAAGATAATCCTAAAGCATTTTTTTCAGTATAGATATCTGTTGGATTCCAAATTAGAATTTTGTGACTTGTTCCTAAAAAGTATTTTTCCAAAAGAATTATACTCCAGTACATATTATATAGTGAAAAATATGATCTATTACACTAAATAAGTAGTGTTTTTATCTAAATATATAAAATTACATGTGCTGACTGACTGATTCATCATCGCCCAGAGCAAACCGCTGAACCTAAAGAAGTGAAATTTATTACACAGTTAGGGTGCATCACGAAAATGCACCCTAACTGTGAACTGTGTGCACTAAGAAGGAATTTTTCGAAATTCCCCCGCGGGGAGAGGGAGAGGATTAAGGCTTAACCTGAAGAATGGCTTCTACTGTACTATTTTAGATGTGATTTTTTGTTTTTATAGTAACAACTAATGATTGAGAATCTTAGTGTAGTACTGGGGGAGGGTTATTTCTATCAAATTGCTAATTCCACGTGGGTGAAGCCGCGGGTAACAGCTAGTTTATGTATAAAAATGCAAGGATAATTTTATAAGACACATAAGAGAGGGAGGGGGAAAAAACAACTAAAAAACAGACAAACATGAATATCTTAAAAATATATAAAATGAATAATTATGTAAGAATTTAATGTCTTTCTGTCTGTCGGTGCTGATTGTAATATCTTAAATGTGTCTTTTAGACAATACTATGCTAAAGATAAGAAAGTAAAACAAGAATAAAATGTACAATATAACGTACCTTTATATTTAAATGATAATCATTTTATTTTATTTTATTTATTTCATAAATATTTTTTTTTTAACAAAGGTTATAAAATTGTAAAATTTATCTTATAAATAATATTAATATAATTATAGAATACTGGAAAGGACCTAAAAATTAAATGGAAAGGCTCACTTCATATAAGTAATCTTATAATGCTAATTTATAAATTTAATGTTGTTTGATAAAATTTTAATTGAAACAAGAAATGAACTTGTCTCAATATCAAGTTTTAAAATGTCATTATTATTTTTATTCAATATCGAAAGCATATTTAAAAATTTTTTATATTTAATATTTAAGAAAGTAGCTAGTTGATAGATAATGAACAATGTTGGATCAAGAAACTTTATAATAAATACATATTAAAAATAAAGTAATACAGTCGATTCCAGTTATTAGCCCAGTCGGTTAGTAGAACATGCTGCTTATTAGTACAAAACATTCAAGAACGGAATGAAATCCAAGCATAATTTACTTTGCCTACTGGTCCCGAAATGCCGTTTAATAGCCCTGCTGGCACAATATTTTTCTTGGAAAACTAAAGAGACACGAACGTGGATATTTCTGGCGTTTCCATATGCGACCTCTGCCTGATTTCCTTTATCAGCTGTCTAGATTGTACTGCAATGATGTTTTTTGTACAGAAATAATTTCTTGTCATTAAAATGGTTTATTGCACTCAGATGTTTGTTTTATTGGTGAGAACATGCATTGACACATCTCTAACATAACTTGTTATTGGGATGTTCGATGTCTGAAAAGCTCTAGTCCCGATGCTGTGCTATTAAGTGGAATTGACTGTATTTATATTACACACCTTCCATTTTTGATCCAGAGCTGTTGGTCCCAACAATGATTTCCTGGTTAACCCCTCTACAAATTTTTCAAATTTTTCTACCTCACTTATAAATTTTTCTAGAGTACTATTATCAGATAGCGGATCTTTAAGTTGTGTTCGTTCTTGTTCTACAGAATCAGTTCTAGAAAGAGTTTCTGCTGTTGATATTACCTAAAATAAAAATAATCACATTATATAAAAATTGAAATTTTATCTTTATTTTGTTATGTATGAGGACAGTTTTTTTCAAAGCTCCAATGGTCCATTAAAAAAAAAAGACAGTGTAAATAACAAAATGAATTTATTACCAAAAGTTAGGTACAAACATGGTTACTTTTTGACAAAATCACTGTAAAGATTGTCCGCAGATATGACAAATTCCTCAAACTTTTCCATTCCCTTTTCATAGAATGTTGTTGCCAGTGAATTGAGATGGCCTTAACAACATTGTTTGTAGATTGTCATTAGTCTCAAACCTCTGCCCTGCTAGCCACATTTTCAGTTCAGGAAAGAGGGGGGAGTCTTCACCATCTTTAAACACCCAGCATATAGCCCTGATTTAGCACTGAGTGACTTTCACCTCTTTCCTGAACAGAAAAAGTGGCTAGGAGGGCAGAGGTTTCAGACTAAAGACGATCTTCAAAACAACATTAGGGCTCATCTCAAGTCATTGGTGGCAACATTCTATGAAGAGGGGATAGAAAAGCTCGTCCACAGATATGACAAATGCCTCAGTCTTCACGGTAATTATGTTGAAAAGTAACCATGTTTGTACTAACTTTTGGTAATAAATTCATTTTGTTATTTATACTTGTCTTTTTTTATGGACCATCAGAGCTTGAAAAAAATCAGCCTACGTACATACATATAATTAANGACATCCTATCACTTCACAGTAAAGCTCATGATCTTCAACAATAACTATGGCTAGGAAAATATTTTGAAAAAGATCCATAATTTGAAACTTTTCTCTGATAAAAAATATAAATAATTTTGATAAAAGCCATAAATTATGAAAAAGATTTAAATAAATTAATTACTTCGGTATTACTCAACAAGCAAACCACAATTTCTGTCTGTTGTTCCCAAATCATTGACCAAAAATCAACATATGTAGAAGGAAGTGGAGACTGTGTCACTATGAATGGTACACTGCTTTGAGTAATATTCTGTTGAGAAATTTCATTTTAAATAAATATATTTTATTTTATTACAACAAATATTACTTTTAATGATTAAATTTCACAAAATTATTATAGTATAATATTTTTTGAAAAATGGGTAAATGCATAACTCAATCGTCTGAACCAGTTCAGTCTGACTCAGACTATTGTGGGTTAACCTTTTGGAGTCAACAGCAGTGATGATCTTGGATTTGTATTATATCTCGACACTATTGTAAATATCACGTGTCCGATTCAAATAAAGTAAATTATTTGCCTGGATCAGTTTCTCAGTTAATCTTTGCTGACGAACAAAGGAAACAGAACACTTGGTCAAGGTCAACATGGACATCACAACAAGGTAGAACACAACCCAGACCAATTCTGCCTAGCATCAAAATGTGCCGCTGAAAATGTCTCAACTTGATTCAAACTTAAAACATTTTTGATTTTTCTATAAAATTCAAGCAAACTAACAAGTAAAATCTGACCTAAATTTTTGTACCTACTTAGTTGTGCAATGGAAAAGTTTTTCTGATTTTCAGTTTGAGAAAGAAAAGAAAATTTGAAGTCAAAGTAGATTAATAAGAAAGATAATCCAGAATAAGGGGTTTATGAAGTAACAGAATCATCATCATCTTGTCAAGTATTATGTTTTAACAGTACAGTATATCTGAGAGGAATATTGTTAAGTAAAATTATTTTTATATGCCAATAAATAGTATATTATCAGAAAAAAGGAAATAATCTACTTGCAATTGAAGTATAACACAAAAACCATATATAGATAAAATATTGCTTTAATTAATAATAAAAGAAACATATCAAAAATAGTTATTACTGTTTTCAAAATGATTGTTAAAAAATTCATTCAATACTTTCAATTATATAAAATTTTTTTTTCATAAATCAATTTTAACTCATTAAGGTAGTTACTAATTCAATATCAAGTAATTTAGTCTAGATAGAAGAATTGGGAATCTCTTGATAATTAAATTTAATTATTAACTTGGACTTATTCTTTTCTTCCAGAATCTTTTAATTGGGTTTATACATGTTTATATTAACAGATATCATAGAGTATAAATATAAACATGTTTGATGAAAATAAAACTTATAAAACAGCATAAGTTTCACAAACATTATTTTAATCTACTTTTTTGTAATATCTTCCTTGAAATCTTTTATATAATAAACAGATTCAATAAACTTCAAAAATTACAACCTTCCATTAATTGAGTTTTTCTAGAGTCTAATATATCCAAAGTAATAAAGATCCAAGAATATTAGCCTAAAAAACTGAAACATTAAAGAATTCAATAAACAGTTTAAACACACAAATTTACATCGATAGTAAAAGAATGATAATATTAAGTAAAAAATCAAACTAAACAGAAATTTGAAACACTTATTAATTACAGGACACAAAAGAACTGAATATGCTGAAATTAAATTACATAATCTATATATATAAAAATGAATGTATGTCTCTGTGTGTGTGTGTGTGTCCTTCATGCATTACCACACCGTTTATCCGATTGCCGTGAAACTTTGGGAAGTTGCTTAATATACTCCGGCGAAGGTTTGTGGCATAGTACGATTGCCATCCTACGATAGATGGCGCGCATTTACACGAGCATTCGAGCACAGTGTGTTCGATCGATTTCAAATTGTGAAGACCATTTCCCCCTTCAAAAAATATCTCTATATATGCATTTGTGAACTGTTATTTATGATATTTGTAATAATTTTTGTTTAATCACTTTATTTCAACTTTATTTTTTGCTAATTATGTATTCGCTCGAACCTCGTTAAAACCTCAACTGTACCCCAAACAACAACCGAAGTTGTAGGAGGAAATTTGCGTATTTTACCGATCTAGGTATCCCCCCCTTTTCAAATTTTAATATCGACTCAAAATAATAATGTAATAATAATAAGTTTTAATAAAAATTATAAAATGTAAATTGAATTTTGTCATAACGAGTTTGCTTAAATTTCCTTTCTTCTGAGATCGCAGCAATGCGCGACGGGTAAGCTAGTNGGTTGATTGCGGCACCATTTCCCAAACTGCATCTTCCATCTCAGCATTCGATTGAAACTTATGCCCTTTCAGGTTCCTCTTAAGCTCCTTGAAAATATGGAAATCACACAGACAAGTCAGGACTGCTTTTGCAGGATGCTGGAGTGTTTCCCACTTGAATTTCACAAGGGATTCCTGCACGATGCATGCAGTGTGAGGGCGGGCATTGTCATGAAGAAGGACTACATGTTGCGAAAGCAGGCCAGGTTGCTTGGATTTGATTGAAGCTTGCAGAGATTTTAAAGTTTCCACATACCAAGCATTTATGGTGGTTCCACAGGCTGTAAACTCCATCAGCAATGGGCTTTTGCTGTCAAAGAAGAATGTCAACATCACCTTTCTTGTTGTTGTCTGCATTTCCTTTGATTTCTTCTAGTGGAAACACTTCTTTTGCTTTCTGGCTGGAAATGAAAGCACCATGTTTTGTCTCCTGAAACAATTCTCTCTATGAAATGATGGCCTTCATTGCAGTACCGCAGCAAATGTTCCAATGACAGACCCATGCAAAAGTCTTTTTGCACAGATGTCAAGTTGTGTAGCATCCACTGGGTGCAGATCTTTCAATACTGCAGATGCTCACAAATAATGTTGTGCACACTACCAATGCTAATTCCAACCTCGGTCACCAGCTTCCACAGTGACTTGTCTATTGTCCAAAATGAATCTATTGCACAATGTGCTTGCTTTGGCCTGGCATCATCAGCCGCCAACGACGACTGACTATCTCAGAAGTGCTTACTCCAGTCTTTCACTGCTGTCAAACCCATACAGCCGATTGCAGAGACAGAGTTTACATTAAACGACGTTTACACATTGGCTCTTACTTACTTCGCTATTACTCCCCTGTTTTAGGAGTCGTTCGGCCAATCGGATTATTTCTTCGTGACGTCAGAAATGGTCGAGTGAGTCTAGAAAATAGGTCAAATAACTTGTTTCTAATCGCTGTCTACAAGACAGCGATTAGAAACAAGTTATTTGACCTATTTTCTAGACTCACTCGACCATTTCTGACGTCACGAAGAAATAATCCGATTGGCCGAACGACTCCTAAAACAGGGGAGTAATAGCGAAGTAAGTAAGAGCCAATGTGTAAACGTCGTTTAATGTAAACTCTGTCTCTGCAATCGGCTGTATGGGTTTGACAGCAGTGAAAGACTGGAGTAAGCACTTCTGAGATAGTCAGTCGTCGTTGGCGGCTGATGATGCCAGGCCAAAGCAAGCACATTGTGCAATAGATTCATTTTGGACAATAGACAAGTCACTGTGGAAGCTGGTGACCGAGGTTGGAATTAGCATTGGTAGTGTGCACAACATTATTTGTGAGCATCTGCAGTATTGAAAGATCTGCACCCAGTGGATGCTACACAACTTGACATCTGTGCAAAAAGACTTTTGCATGGGTCTGTCATTGGAACATTTGCTGCGGTACTGCAATGAAGGCCATCATTTCATAGAGAGAATTGTTTCAGGAGACAAAACATGGTGCTTTCATTTCCAGCCAGAAAGCAAAAGAAGTGTTTCCACTAGAAGAAATCAAAGGAAATGCAGACAACAACAAGAAAGGTGATGTTGACATTCTTCTTTGACAGCAAAAGCCCATTGCTGATGGAGTTTACAGCCTGTGGAACCACCATAAATGCTTGGTATGTGGAAACTTTAAAATCTCTGCAAGCTTCAATCAAATCCAAGCAACCTGGCCTGCTTTCGCAACATGTAGTCCTTCTTCATGACAATGCCCGCCCTCACACTGCATGCATCGTGCAGGAATCCCTTGTGAAATTCAAGTGGGAAACACTCCAGCATCCTGCAAAAGCAGTCCTGACTTGTCTGTGTGATTTCCATATTTTCAAGGAGCTTAAGAGGAACCTGAAAGGGCATAAGTTTCAATCGAATGCTGAGATGGAAGATGCAGTTTGGGAAATGGTGCAGCAATCAACTCACCAAGTTTTATGAGCAAGGAATCGAATGTCTGATGTCACAGTGGGACAAGTGCCTTACTCATCACTTACCTCTATAGTCATTGGTTGGGTTTCATTTAAATGACCCTCATACTATGCACATATACTATTACCTCTCCAACTTTTTAATCAGTTCTTTTTCTAATTAACACCTAAATATTTTTTATAATTGCCAAATTATTAAAACTAGAAATAAAATGTTTTATTAAATTATAGTTGTTTATTCTGTTATTAATCCACAACCACAAGTTTATGTAGCTTTGAAACAAAGAAACAAGCAATTATTTATTATTCATTAATAAATGCTGTATAATCTATGTACAAAATAAGTATATATTTATTAACTTTATCCCTTAATAAATTTCCTGAATGTTATAAAATAATAGACTGGAAAAAAATTAAATTGTTATGTTATGCAATCAAAATTAAAATTACAAAATTTTCCTAAAAATTTATGAAATAAACAATTTTCTGGACTTTCCATTACTTTTTCCTAACAATAATGAAAATCCCAGATTTTTCTTGACTTTCCAAGCATGTAAGAATTGTGTGTATAATGTATGTTAGGTATTAGGTTGCCAATATAATAAATATAAAATTAGAAATTGAAGACAGTCTGTTGAAAAAGGATTCACCATTTATTCACTTTCACTGTTCTAGAATGCAATTTCTAATTTTAAATTTAATTACCATCTGACAATTTTCTACAATAATAAATTTATGTGGCACTGAAGAGAAAAATATTAAATTCCAAGTTTTAATTTAGAATAAAAAAAAATTAATGTTTTATCAAAAGTATCAAGCTCTCAACACCAACAATGGATTACAAAATTTCTTTGTATAACAGCTTAAGGTGGTAAATCCAATAGAACAAGTTCTTCTGGCTCTCGTGGCTCTCAATGAATAAATATCATTTTAAGCAATCGAAGAACTGTGCTCATAGACAACTTTGCTATGAGTTGTTCAAAGACAGGAAAGGGAAGATAGGAAAGTTATTACAAAATGATCAGTAGACAGTCAGAAAATTTGTACAGAACAGATCTCTTTATCATGGCCATGCATTCTTTCATAACCTACATACACAGAGGGCTCATTGGTAAATCTGACATTGAATTGTTGCAGAACTTAGATTACCATATCTCTGGAACAGATCAAAAATAAAAAACTTATTGCACAATTGCAGATCCATCATTATGGACACTTAATTTAAATCTGCTGATAAATCTAGGAGGAGTTCAAGTAGCAAAAATTTCCTTCATATAATATATATAAAAATATTCTACATATAAATAACATAATATACATAGAATTTTTGTTTACTTTGCTTACAATACAACATTTGATTTTGATAAGAAAACTAATAGCACTTTCACACTAAATATTTAATTATAATATCTCTTAGAAAATAAATATACACACAATTTTCATTCCTATTCTATCTACATCTATAACCTCATTCAGTTAAATTTAAGTTTATTTAATTTTTCAGCTTTCAGCTCATTAACAAATTTATTATTATTAAACATTACTTCTAATTTTATTTCAAATATATTGCACTCAGTATTAGTGTATTATCATTTCTTATTTACACCCTCAACTGCCGTAAATGATCGGACTAAATTTGGATATAATGATTATAAATTAGAAATGAATTTGGTACTGAAATGAGGCTTTAGGTGCCATCTCGTATTAAAATTAATAATTATAATATTTAATTAATTAATTTAAATTAAACTGGAAGAAAAGAATTGGCATGACGTTATATCCAAATTTAGCCCAATCATTTATGGCAGTTGTGGGTGTATATTTGCTTAATATATCGAGTTTCAGTTGTGTATAACTGTTTCTTATTTATTATATATTTATGCCATTATTAAATAATTTTTTTTAATATATACTTAAACATTATTATAACTACTAAAAATTTTAATAATTATGACTGAAACTCACTTTAACAAATGAAGCATTAATATAATCATTTCTAAGGGAAGTCAGAGCAACTCTATTACTGTCATCTGAAAATATGAAAATAAAATTTTGATTAGCTAACATAATTAAACATATAAATTTCATAAAAACGGTCAACTTTTTATAAAATATATTCGTATTATCTAAACAAATACATACTTTTATATTTAAGTTAATAATTGTAATTTCATAATGTACAATATATTATAAATTAAGGTCTATATAGTTTTTTAAGTCTCATTTTTAGAATTGGTATACATTTTTTATATCATCATTTGTGAAATATTGTTAACTGCTGTATTTTTTTGTTGGCCACCTTAGTGTGGAATTACACAGTTTAAAACATATTCCTGGAAATAGAACTTTAATTAATAAGAATGAATCTGCAGGAAATTAGAATTTGATTTATAACACATTAATTGCCTCAATGTAATTAGGTGAAATGCTATTTGATACCATGTGTGGTTAAGCACATTATTGTATGCAATATTCAATATATAACATTTATTCTTCAAGTAAACTTTACTACAGCTTATTTTTGCAAAAAACAAAAAACTTGTTGTCTGTCTGTTAATATGTGAAACAGAAAATTCTTCAAATAAACAAACACAAGATAATTCAGATAAAACAAAATGTTAAAGATTATAATAATAGACTGTCTGGCATAGATTAATTGGATCAAACGCTTATAATATTTCTTATTGCTTAATTATGACAATAATAGTAATGATACATAATATATATCCAAAATGTGTCCTTTTCTGTCAAGATCTTAGTCAGACATAAAAAGTCTGAAACATAGGAAAAAAATCACTAGATGCTTGAGTGGTGATAAAATTCCAAATAGTGCAAAGAGAACTAGGATTGAAGATGCATTCTATTATTTAGAGGCTATATAACTCACTGGAAAAAAATTTACTTGATCAAGCAGTGTCAAGTAGGCAAATAAGATAAAAATTCCCTGAAAAATGCTATTATTTTAGTTTCATTCAACTGGAAATATTGATGGACATTTGATATGAAGATTCTGGAAGATACTATTACAGTAGACCCCCTATAACACGGTAGATATGTTCTGTGTTTTATGAAATTCATGTTGTACGAGTCCTTAAATACATGAGCCACTCACAGCCTGGCACGTATGCAATTTACAAACTACAGCTGTTTGAAAGGTTTTCTTCCACAAAATTAATCAATTCTAGACTAATTTGACTCAACATTTCCAAAACACTTATAATTTTTTGGGAATAATCCATATAAACTATGCTATAAACAAAAAATTGTAGGATTACTTACTGAGTGTGCACCGTTTGATGACGCCATTGCTTAAGCTTGTTTTCGTCATGGGGAGGTGCATCGAACGACGGGTGTGTGTTTCCTGATAAATTATTTTTCTGTGAAAAATTCACTGAACTTTGGAGACATCATTAATATAAATATAATTTTTATGGCCATTAAATAATAAATGGTTTTTAGTAGGTCCGCTGCTCGTTTAAACTCAACGGTTTGCGCAATATCCGCTATTGGTCTAGACTCGACCAATCCTGTTGCTACACAAGTCGGCGATGACGTTTTACCACATCATACGAGTCTCTTTTAGTGTGTTTATATGAATATGAATACAATGGCAATTTTTTTGCCATTATATATGAATCCATGTTGTATGAACCCATTTTATAGGGGGTCCTACTATATTTCGAATGTTCTATTGTTTGGAGAAATTATCATGTAATAAAATTTATTTTTTATTGGGTTGCAATCTACAAATTTCCACTGGTATTTACCCATCTGTCTGTCTTCCCTTAATCTCAAGGATGGAATTAGATAGATGAAAGTCGAGACCAGATATAGAAAGCTTAGGGACAGGAGGCCACATTATTTCAATTCAAAATTCAAAATTTTTTCCAGATCTGAGTTACACAGATGACTAACATGATTTTCTTGCTAACAGGAAAAGTATGATATATAGGGGCAAGACACAACTAAAATCAAGAGCATATATTTTAAATTAAATTCATTAAAAATTGCAGCCTGGCATTGTGATGTAGTCCCAATGAATAATTGCTCATTAGTATTATTTTTGTGAGGAGCCAGCTGGGGATACAGAGTAGTTAAGACTCGTACCACTTATACAGTAGCTATTCGTTTGAATAGTCCTTGGTTTGTCCAAAAGAATGACTTTTCTATTTAAAGAAAATGAGGGTGGAGGGCTTTAACTAATATGTTAAAAAAGAAGGATCTAGGGGGTGAATCCTAGATCTAGTCAGGATCCTTGACACCAGTTAATCAGTTTTATAATCCGCGGATTAACACGCGGCTTAAATAGCTACGGAAATGTTAAATATTTTTGATTCAGACACCTTAAGAGATATTTCTTTAACAATAAAATATCAAAAATTTAATAAACAAGAAATAAATTACAAAATTGAATTCTCAAACTATAATTATGGAANAATAGCTACAGAAATGTTAAATATTTTTGATTCAGACACCTTAAGAGATATTTCTTTAACAATAAAATATCAAAAATTTAATAAACAAGAAATAAATTACAAAATTGAATTCTCAAACTATAATTATGGAATGTCACAGAGAAAGAAATTACAACTTTAATTAAACCATACTACCTCAAAATATGTTTTTCTTCTGTATTTTAGGTTCTGGGCGAATGTTCTTGTCTTTGGTTAGTTCTTTGATGGCACATAAATAAACATCTTTCTTCTAATTAAAAGTTTATTAACAAACTTTGTATGAACTATGGGAGTTGAAATGGGCATTGGCTGTAGGGAGCTTATGTGGAATACGTCCTTCTCCTATGGAATTTCATGGCATACTCCTAACTAAGGGCGTTGGCCTTAAGGAGACAATATGGAATATGTCTGTCCTCTTTGGGATCTTTTGGCGTACTCTCCAAATGATACTAAAAAATCCCCTTTTTTGATGATTTTCTCCAATGAGAGAATTGCATTATTCCCACATGTTTAGGAAGAGTGGGGGTTTACAGAAGGGTAACTGGACTGTATTGTATGTGATTCAAAATTTATGAAGATAAGGGAAAACAAAAAGGATGTTGAACTTCCGTTAAGAAGGAAGTCAGTTTTACCAGTTTCCTTCGCTTTTAACATTAAACTTTTCATTTAAAATCAGAAATATTACTTCTAAAAATTTATGTATTCAACATCTATTTTCGATTAATTAGGGGGGATGTGTCCAGAATCTCACATTTTTATTACAAGCATTCTTTCAAAATCATACAAATAACACTACAGAATCCATGAGTTAAGTATCATTGTTTTGAGAAATTATGAAAATTATTGAAAATACCCTATAATTTTTGTTTGTTGAGAGAGAATAATTAAGCCAGATAAGGAACTAAAGCAGATACTTAATTATTAAAGTTATAGAAAAAAAATGTACTGACTACCCAAACTATTTAGTTTTCAAAAGTGGTATTTAACCTTCCAGTATATAGAAATACAGTGTTACCTTGTACTTCAAATTTAATTCATTACAGGAGGTCTTTTGAACTCTGAATCAAACTTTTACATTAGAAACAATTGAAAGCAAATTAATTCATTTCCAGACCTTGAACAATACCCATTTTGAGAAACTTAAAATAGCAAATATACATAATTAAGTGACCTAAATAATAAATTAAAACACAAAAGCCATAAATAAAATATGTAAATATTGTATAATAAAATGAAAATTTCATTTATTGGTTACAAACCATGGACTTCAGGATCTTCAAAGACACAGAAGATTTAATTATAATAATTGTGAATTTTAACATATTATAGATAATGTGAGGTTTTATCCCTTGTTTAGAATCTTAAACTCTTTACTTCATATCTTGTTTAAATAAAATCAAGTAGAAATGTCTTTGAATAAAAAAAACACACACATCAGGATTATTATGCTTTATGAATTTTGAAAAGGTATAACACTGTACAAATAATTAAACAAATTAATGTGTATGGGAAAGACTGCTAAACGTGGATTGAAAAGTTCTGTTGGGAAATTTTGAACTAAAGGTTACAAAATGTACGGGATGCCAAAGAGAGATTGACAAAGTAAAATTGTGGGAAGAAATTGTTAAAAATCGACGAACAACACAAAATACAATAAATATAACCAAACATATCAAAAATAAAGTGAAAAAAAGCACTGAAAAATAAACAAATGCAAGTTGAGAGCGAGAGTCGACTCAGACACAACAGATTGTGTTTATGCTTTGAGTGCATTTAATCACTGACTGCACAGTTTGAACTCTGAGGAAAATATTTTGTTGAATTTTGTGTTCAAACATAGAGTAATTCAAAGTATGAGGCACCACTGCATGGTAAAAATTTAAGAGAAGTGATTTTTACTGAATTCCATATACTAAGTTTCTTACACTGAGCAACAGATACTGTTAATAAACATTCAAACATATTTTACATGCTGCAATTTATATTTTATTTTAGAAAGAAAAACGAAGATCCAGAGGGGAAAAAATGTCCTGGCTAATTATGCACAAATAATATAAACAAAAATCAATATTTTCATAATGAATGATATTTTTCAGAAAGACTTTTCGTTAAAAGTAAAAAAATATCTTTTATTAAAATTATATTTTAACTTATTCAAATGGAAAAATCCAAATTATTAAGAGAAAATTTAGAATACTGAATACTAATTTATCAATATTAAATTCCTTTGATTATTATAAGAACACAAATTTATTATTTCACACATACAAAAAAATCTTCTCATATATTATTAATGACAACTAGAACCTTTCAAATTTTTAAAATAGTCAAACTCTAGATTTAGGAGTAATTCTTTTACTGACTTCTACATTTTATTTTTACATCATTGATAGTATGAAATGCATTTAAGACTGTACAACCCTCTTTAGTCACTTTTCTATATTACTGATCATTATATATATACCCACTTCTAGTCTAATATAATGAGTTTCTTGAAAAAAATACAAATACCCATTTTACTGTCAATGAAATAAAAGAAAGAAAATAATAAAATGAATTGCGTGTTTTAAGTTCTTGGTTTTGTGACTGGTTTAATCTGAAAGATTTAGTCATCAGAACAGAACAGAAATGTTCTATCATTATTTAAAAACATTTCACGTTTAGTTACAAAAGAATTTCTATTGTAAGTCATTCAGGTGATTTACAAATTCCTTTTCTATTTTATGATAAACATATTGTTTCAGCTATTTGAAAGAACTTTCAAATTCAATATAATTTCTTTTACAGAAGGTATGTTTATCAGAACTGCTTAACAGTTATTTTATCAGTCACACTATTACTTTAAATAAAAAATGAAACATTCTTATTTCAGTTATTATTTTACAGTTATTTATAATTAAACAAATATATTATATTTTTTAGTAGAAACTTACATGGCATAATATCAGGATATCTATTTTTAATAGGATAACAACGGGCTACAGAGATCGACAATTTGCGAGATTCACGGTCCTGAGTGTCCATCAATTCCTAAAATGTATATAAAAATTAATACAATTCAATAACATAAAACAGTTAACTTCATGTATATTATCATCATATTTTGGGGACACTTGTTTACAGTGAATATAAATTGTGTTATAGTAATGTGGAATATTCAGTTCAATATGTACTATTCTCTCTACTCATTATTTTCCTTTGGCATGCTTAAAAACATATATATTATGCAATTTTTTGAAGGAATTGACTTGTGACACTTAGTGCTCCACATTTGTAAATAAAAATTTTTTGTCTTTGCACTATTTGAAAAAAAAGAGGATGGTTAAATACCAGAAATATAAATAAATATATTTATGAACATTTAGCAAATTAAAAGGCAAAAATATATCTACAGTATTAATGAAGTTAATTTTTTACCCATGTGCTAAATCATTTTCTTGGAAAGACACAAGTTTTATTGTCAAATTTGAAAATTCACAATCTACAAATTAAGGTTTATTCTATACTAGTAGCTCGGGATGCCTCCTAGTGGGCGTTCTTTACAAATTTCCATGAGGCACATTTCCTTTGACTTTTTTGTTCCCATCAATATGCTCTACAGCTCTGTTAAAGTCTGAATGGTAAGATTTACCCTCCGAATAAAGAGATGGTGACCCCCCAAACCGTAGACCCCTGTACTAACAATAAAGTCAAAGGAACCATACCCCTACTCGCGACCCTTCGAGAGATATAAGCCCCTGAAATAATAAATTCCTATTACAAATANCTCATTAAGGTAGTTACTAATTCAATATCAAGTAATTTAGTCTAGATAGAAGAATTGGGAATCTCTTGATAATTAAATTTAATTATTAACTTGGACTTATTCTTTTCTTCCAGAATCTTTTAATTGGGTTTATACATGTTTATATTAACAGATATCATAGAGTATAAATATAAACATGTTTGATGAAAATAAAACTTATAAAACAGCATAAGTTTCACAAACATTATTTTAATCTACTTTTTTGTAATATCTTCCTTGAAATCTTTTATATAATAAACAGATTCAATAAACTTCAAAAATTACAACCTTCCATTAATTGAGTTTTTCTAGAGTCTAATATATCCAAAGTAATAAAGATCCAAGAATATTAGCCTAAAAAACTGAAACATTAAAGAATTCAATAAACAGTTTAAACACACAAATTTACATCGATAGTAAAAGAATGATAATATTAAGTAAAAAATCAAACTAAACAGAAATTTGAAACACTTATTAATTACAGGACACAAAAGAACTGAATATGCTGAAATTAAATTACATAATCTATATATATAAAAATGAATGTATGTCTCTGTGTGTGTGTGTGTGTCCTTCATGCATTACCACACCGTTTATCCGATTGCCGTGAAACTTTGGGAAGTTGCTTAATATACTCCGGCGAAGGTTTGTGGCATAGTACGATTGCCATCCTACGATAGATGGCGCGCATTTACACGAGCATTCGAGCACAGTGTGTTCGATCGATTTCAAATTGTGAAGACCATTTCCCCCTTCAAAAAATATCTCTATATATGCATTTGTGAACTGTTATTTATGATATTTGTAATAATTTTTGTTTAATCACTTTATTTCAACNCAGCTTCGAGAATTTTTTCTTTACCTTTTATAATTGTTCTGACCGTCGATTCCGGTAGATCAAATTTCTTTGCCAATTCACAAATTTTCATTTTTGTATCGAAGTCTTTAATGTTAACTTTACATTCCAAAGATAAAGTTTTTCTTTTCTTGTTTGATGCAGAAGAATCAGTTCTACTTCGTTTGGATGACATAATAGTCTCTCTCAAGTCTCCGTAGATAAAACAAACTTAGAAATAAATAACACAAAATAAATTGTAGCTATGCGTCGATTCCGCGTGACACGTCCAAACATGTAAGCTGAACAATAGTGTGGGGTGAGTGAGTAATCAAGAGTTGCGTGGCACTTAAACAAAAGACGAATCCGCGAGATTTGAAAATCGCGTAATTCCAAGTTCGCGTAAGTCGAGGTATTACTGTACATGTAAATGTAATTTTATCAGTGTAAATATCTTATTACTTCCATTTTGTGCATTTACAAAAGTGATGTTTTTGTATTTTGTAACTGTAAGAGTATTTCTTTTCTAAAAATTTAATTATTATTTTAAAATTCTTCCTTCATTCACAAGACACAATGCTAATAATTATTAGTGTTGTATCTTATGAATGATATAAGTATGGAGTCTCTTATCAACAAAGAACTCAATTCTTCATGATTTTGTTTTAAAAATAATGTGAACATTTAATTTTGAACTATTAATAAGTAGAAGATTAATATTCTTTAAAGTTAAATTGATGACAAGTTTTGCAATCTTTCATAAAATTATTAATTATTTAACTATGTTATCTGTATGTATGGATAGCACAAACTTTAATTTAGTCTGTAATTTTATTTATGCAATCACAAATAATTATCTGTTTAAGTACCATCTTACAATGGAATATAATTCTGATAAGTTCAATAAACATCAGCCTGGATCACTTTAGCAGATAAAATATTTGTGGACCTTGTTAATTAACATTATTAAAAAGGGCAAGCCAAATAAAAGTGAGTCAGGCTCTCTATGAAATAGTTTGACCCATGTGATATGTCAAGTTCAAAGGATAGTCACTGGCCACATAACTATTGGCATTGGTTTTGTATGGCACTATGTTGCGGAATCTGTGATAGCATTTCCAACAAAGTCTGTCATGGACACTCAGCTGGATGAACAGCATGATTTTTATTGTTGGGCTGCAATTTGAAAAAATCATAGACCTATAAATTCCGAGAATGAGGAAAGATAGACTGATGAGACTGTCCATCTGTCTTTCCTTAATCTCAAAAACGGAGTTAGATAGACGAAATTCAAGACCCTGAAAGTTCGTATATAGCTGATCAGGGCCTTTTGCCCTGATTAACTATATACGAACTTCCAATGCAAACTGGATGTCAGGTTTTTTTCAATTCAAAAATTTCCCCCAAAAGGAGTTAGATCGATGACTGGCACAAGTCCATTGCTAATGGAAAAGTATGATGTACAGGGCAAAACACTACAGTAGTAATTTAAGATGGAGAGCATATATATTTTAAATTAAATATGATTAAAAATTGCAGCCTGGCATTGTGACGATGTCACAATAAGTAATTGCTCATTGAATGTCAGTGGTTTGCAGAGAACACTTTTTCTTTATCTAGAGTGAAGTGATTGAACAAATAATTCAAAAAAGCTTGAAAGACAACCAGAGGTAGGACAACCATACAGTATTGTGTCATCAAGCTTCAGACAACAGCAAAGGTGAATGCACTTATCAAGAAGACTGATAAGTGAATATTGACAAATTGGCTCAAGCTGCAAAGATTAGTCATGAATTATACACCATTAGTTTGAACATCTGCATTATTGACTTGTTCAATGAGTTCCAAAAGAACCAGAGACAAAGCATTGCACTAACATTTGCTTTGTTTTGAGAATGAGGGAAATGCATTTATAGATTATATCAATATTGGAAGTAAGTTGTAATGTTACCAATATAAGCCAGAAATGAAATGACAGTCTTTAATAGAAGCACCCAGGTCAGAACACAAAACTTCATCAAAAAAGGGAAGTTGCATGTTCTGACTGCCAAGACATTGCTGATATTTTTCTTTGATCATAATGCTGTCTACTATTGGGAAACCCTATTCAAGAACAAGTGTTAAAGTTTATTGACAAATGGCATAATCTTATTGTACAATAATGCAAGACACAGAGTGATTTTGGACACATTTGAGAATGTCAAGTAGGAAATCAACATTAGGGCTGTAAGGGGAGAATGATCTATGAATTCACTGTAGAATTTCCATGTTTTCAGTAATATGAAGAAACAGATGAAAGGTCACACTGGATGATAAAGTACAAAATACAGTAAGACCCCGCTTAACAGTGCCTCAATTAACGCTGATTTGATATAACACGGTCTACTCAAAACTAAAAGAAAAAAAAAAAGCTCAAAATTTATGCTGATCTAAATTATTGCAGCATTTCATTGATTCGTATATAATATGATTATTTATGAACACAAACCAATCAGCAAAAGATGGCAATTTGTCATAGTGCTGTACAGTGGAACCTTGCTTAACGAGCATAATTCATTCCACAATCTTACTTGTAATGCAAAACACTTGTTAAGTGAAACAATTTTTCCCATATAAATTAATGTAAAATATGATAATGGGTTCTCTGCTGAAAAAATACTCAGATATTTTATGTATAATGTTTATTCAAAGAAAATTATACAATATACATTGTTAAGGAGTGTGAATCATCATCATCTTCTCTTCTAGCTTGGAATGAACCAATCTGGAATGCAAATTCATTTGCAGAAAACGAAAAAAAAAAAATTTAATTTGGAATTGGTCATTAAATTTAATACAAGATAGCAGCATAACTGCCTACCTCTAGTCAAATTATTTAATTTCTAATATTTAATCATAGCCTTTACATATCCCAAGAATTTTGGCATATCGTTTAGTGCAGGGTGGCCAACAGTTTTTGCCCCCGGGCCGAATTGGAAAGAAAACTTTTTCCAAGAGCCGAACCAGAGGCTGCCCTAGGAAGATTTTGTGGTGGTGCGAGATCTCATTGTGGTGTCACCCCATAGAGACTTAATTGTAGATAGCGATTACAGATACATTTTTCACATTATCATGCTTTATCAACATTTTACGCTGTACTTACGATGAGATTTGTAATGGAGGGTTAATTCTAAATGCACAGTGAGTTGTTGACCTTTTTTTTTTTTCTTTTTCATTAAGCGTCAGAATTTTTCATCAAGCTATTCGGACTTCAGTAGCTAATATTGAAAAATTAATCGTGGGCCACGTAAATTCATTAGACGGGCCAGATCTGGCCCACAGGCCATATGTTGGCCATGCCTGGTTTAGTGTATTAACTATATAATGGGCTATAGTTGTTGATGTTTATATGTAATATGTCTAACACAAGTT